GTATTTTAAGAAACGATTAAAAACGCCATTTCATGCCATAGTTGACGGATAAACACAAGTTGTACTTTATACTTATAAATTACTCATTGCTATCTTTCTCAACATCTAGGAAATCAGCTTTGTTCTCTCTGTTTCAAACTCGATAGCTATAGCAATAAAACAGTGCTATTTGGATTTCTTCATTATCAAAGTGAGAGTACACCTGATTTTAAGTAGGGACCTATTTTTAAGTTCGAGAATTCTACATGCCATGAGGCTTCGTTCACGAGGTGGATAAGCGGACGCCAAATAGTTTAAGTTGAGTGTGAGTTCGGCTTTGAAGAGAGAGAGAGAGAGGGAGGTCAGGGTTCGAACCTCCTTATATTTTGCGTCGACTGGGGATCACTTTTGTTATATTTTCTCAACAAACTGTTCACTGAACAAAATACTTTGGATGGTCACCAGTTTACCACTAACACAACCAGAAGAAGTAATAAGAATTGACTTACGGTTTGCCAGTTTACCAGTAACACAACCAGAAGAAGTATTAAGAATTGACCTACGGTTTACAAGTTTACCCGTTACACAACCAGAAGAAGTATTAAGAATTGACTGACTTGCGGTTTACCAGTTTACCAGTAACACAACCAGAAGAAGTAATAAGAATTGAATTGACTCGCAGTTGAGAAATAGGGTAGCTATCGGTTATAAAAGCTACTAAGACTTCAAGTTACAAACACATTCTTCGCATTCAGTTACCTGTTGGATTGTCATCCACACCTTTCGTCCAGGCACTGTCCCGACCTGCTCCGTGGCCCTAGCGTTAAATTCTCTCCTGGTCAAGACCCAGGATTTACTGAACATGTCCAGTAACAGAGCGCGGTACTAAAGCACAAATGATAAGATAAGGGTACAGAGCGAGGTGCTTTGGGCGTTCCATATTTGACACAGTGTTTTATAAATGCTAGCTAACCTCATCAACCCTTCAAACCCCAACTAGCATCTAATTTCTCCCTAAAATGTCACGCCTGAATCACTCATTAAGGTCAGGAGAATAAAGGAAACGATCACCAATTAAAGAAGTCCTTGATTATTAAGAAAATTCTCCTTTTCAGCATCTTAGGAAATAAAAGGAGAACGGTATGAAGAATACGCCTACCGATATTAGGTTGTATTGGGGTAAGGACGACCAAACTATACAGGGAATAAACCTGTCACTTAATGCCTCCTTGGAGCTTTGTAAGATGTCTCATGATATTCTTGTTCCTCTTAACTTAGTTTGTTTGAGAGAGCAGTCAAACTCATTATTGTTACACTTCAAATTGAGAGCTTCAACATAACCTCTTCTATGGAAAGCCTCACCTCATCTGCCGTGTCGCCCGTGCTTCTGAAAGAAAATAGTCTGCGTGACTGTATATCGCCTGATAGCGCTTCTGTAGGCCACTGCAATAAAACAATGTTCTAAATGCTTACAAAGAAAGACACGAACAACTTTCTCCAGATTTGTTTTCACAGGAGTAAAAGTACATCCTGCCAAATTCCGAGAAATGATCAGGATGGTTTCCAACTCACCTTGAAATCTATTTCTGTGGCTCCTGTGCTGAGAATCGCTTTTTCCAGTAGCGTGTCTGGTACTCCTGAACATAGAGGGTCCCCTGGGCTGCTTGCTGACAAAAAAAGATTATCATTAGGTTCAAAGAAAAAAAAATTGTTTCCCCTCATGCTATAGACAGCATCCCATCAGTATCAGTGGGACTTCATCAAAAGCCGGACACTTTTCATCTCTCACTCGATTACTTCCGATCAAACTACAACAAATTAATCACAAGAAAACCCCAGCTTGAAAATTTTGCGGAGGGTGTATTTTACGGTTTGGCGACGAGAGAAAAATTTTGCCGCTCCTAATGGTTAAAATCTCTGCTAAAAACTATATCTTGAGTTTCTCTGTTCATTCTTCTGGAGCATTGATAATGCAAGTTACAGTCATTTTTTTTTATCTTTTGTTACCTGTTTAGTTACAGCTGTCTACTCGGAGGCACTTTGCTGCATACTTAATAAATCATAGGTGGTCTGAAAACTCTCTAATTGCCCATTCCCCCGGTATTTCTCTCTTTTCTTACTCGGCCCTACTGTGATAAATTTTCGATGAATTTATTTTTCTTTTCAAGAACTAATCTTAAAAATCTGTTCTAATCAAAACCCACTACACGATATCACCCTTTCGACCAGCACTGCTGCACCACTGAACAAAGTAAATGCTCAATTCAAACTTCCCTGAAGGGGGGGGGGGGAAAGGGGGAGGGGAGAGTAAATCATTCTCCTCTAAAAAATTACCGATTACTTCACTTACCAGTTTGTCGGAGAAGCAACAGCCTTTTAAAATCGGCTAAACTTAAAACAGTTCTGTGCAGTTTCTCATGAACAAAGTCCTGTAAGATTTTTAGCGTGTCCCGAACATGCGTATCATTTGTGGAGAGAGGTTCCTTAGGCAGTTGAGGATTCATATTATTACTAGCGACTTCTTTACAGTCAATTTCCATCGGCAAGTGTTGCTCCTCAGAGGATCCTTCATGTAAGGTGTTGTGGTTCATCACATGATTCGACTTGGAATTGGAAGGCTTAGAAACTCTTTTGCTTCCTGCACTGGAACAAGAATCTAAAAAAAAAAGTAAAGCAAAGCGTAACATCACCACAAAGCGTCTCCAAAAACAAGCAAACAAGGCAACAAAGTAATACTAACATGACATTTCAGACAAACACGAAGTACGCGTGAGACGAAAGAGGAATACTTACGTAACAATCAAAACAGACGCAGCAGACATGAGACACTAACGTAAGGATCACTTAACACTGAAGTAACAGTTATAACAGAAAAGTAGCGAGCTTGAGATAAAACAAGAATACTTACGTAGCAATCAGAACAGACACGCACCAAGCGCGAAACAATCGCTTAACATTAACATAATCAAAACAGACAAGCAGCGAGCGGGCGACAATCACGTAACATTAACGCAACAATCAAAACAGACAGGCAACGGGCGGAAGATAATCGCGTAGCACTAACGTAATAATCAAAACAGACAGACAGCGAGTGATAGACAATCAAGTAACACTAACGTAACAATCAAAACAGACAAACAGCGAGTCGATAGACAATCACGTAACACCAACGTAGCAATCAAAACAGACAGACAGCGAGCGGGAGACAATCCCGTAACACTAACGTAAAAGTCAAAACAGACAGACAGCGAGCGAGAGACAGTCATGTAACACTAACGTAAAAATCAAAACACACAGACAGCAAGCGTAAGTCAATCACTAAACACTAACGCAATTATCAAAACAGACAAGCAGCGAGCGGGAGACAATCACGTAACACTAAAGTAACGATGATACAAAACACGCAGCACGCATGAGATCACGTCCTACTAACGTAACGATTATGGCAAACACGCAACACACGGAGACCATAACGTAATGTTAACTTAACGACCAAAACAAACAGCAACGCGCTTGAGCCAAAATAACGTTCAATTAACGTGATAATTAAAACAGACACACGGTCTAAACGAAATAAAATAACTCACCACTGGTTATTCTTTTGAGATCCATTCCAAGCTTGTCTTGTTTTGGAAAATTTAGTTGTTTTTGAAGACTTTGAAGAAAGGTTGAGAACGATTGTATTTTTTTTTTTGCGCTCGGTCATCAAATATACAAATAAGATATTCGTTCTTTTCACGAGCGTAGGACGAAGAAAAGAGTTCTGAGTTACCGCCGAGGAATCGAACCCCCAGACCTTTGGATTTTGCCGCGCAGTGCGCGACTACTGAGCAAAAGAGAACTCGGCTAACTCTCTGTTGCTCAATCGAACAACGTCGAAATGCGAAATTAGAAGGTCTGTGATACAATCCACTGCGTGGGACTCAGATTTGTTCGTAGTCTCACGCTCAAAGGTGAAATACTGAGTTCGCCCTCAATGTCTCTCTCCTTCAGAAAAAGCAAAAGGGTACCAGCGCGGCACAGTACCAGTGCGGCACAGTTTGGAAACCAGACAAATTCGATAGAAAGGATTTAGAGACCTTCACTAGACAAGGATCCCATATAGGTGGAGTAGCAGTCAATACCTTTCGTTGCTTCAGAAACCGAGATTAGCTCCGGTCACATCAGCCACATGGCTCGTTAGCTGACTATACTCTTCGCACCCTAACATCAAAATAAATATTCTCTATACTATTCTCTGTACATTTCCTAAGGTGCTGAAAAGGAGAATTTGTTTAACAATTAAGAGCTTCTTTAGTGCGTGATCATCTTCTTTATTCTCATGACCTAACCGTAAGATCCAGGGGGGGGGGGGGGATGACGCAGTAAGGAGAAAGTGGGTTAACGTCCTATCGATAAGAAGAAAAATAACCGCTCTTACACTTGATATTTGGCTTCCCACATGGTCAGCTGTTGTTTGTAAACATCAGGATGCCTTCAAAGAAATAAATAAACAAGTGAACAACTTAATTAGTTCATCGACTGGTAATGAACAGTAAAACAAAATGAACGTTCAAGGGCGGTTACAGCGAAGAATTATACTTTATGTCAAAGTTGGGATAATATACAATCTCTGCACAGTTTCAAACGCTTCTCCAGGAGAAATAATTGACGAACCGTTATTTTTCTTGATGTCTCTTGGTGTAAGTCGTTCCAAATTATCTAGTAATATCCACTGGATGTTACTAGATAATTTGGTTCTATCAAATGAATTGATAATGTAACTGATTGACCACAATAGAGAGTTTATAAAGCTGTCGTTTCGGGCGTTAGCCCTTCGTTAGAGCGAAATTGGACGTTGAACTTACTTTTGAACAAACTCTATATCATATGGCAGCACGAACTCCCAGCCCATTGCTACTTTCACTCGCGACATCTAGGCAACAATGAATACAAGAAAGTTTGTCATTTACAGTTTACAACGTTGAATAAGAGCGCAGACTTCAAGTCGTTTGAGTATACATGCAACCCAGGGCTGATTAAAAACACCAACACCATTCCTGGGTTCTCGTACCTGCCGAAGGTGACCTGCTGAGATTAAAATCATCGCCGTAAAAGTCTGCAAAACTTCAGGCTTTTACAGAGATTGGACCTATGCCCCCTAGATAACAGCTGGATGCTACCTACCTACTGAGCGCCGAAGCCACATGTCGAGGGCGTGGAAAATGTTAATCACTTCTTTTCTTCCCGTAAAGGAATCTGGTCAAAACTAGCGCTTACTTTTACGCAATAGATCCCAATTTCCTCTTGTATATGTGATAAAGAGACTAATTCCGATAGAGTATAGTCAAACCACCTCAAGATTCATGTATGCATAATCGCGTAAACAATTGATGGGAAGAGAAAAGTTGTCTCCCAGAGGATATTGTATCTTTTTAATGCAAATAAACCCTGCCAAGATTCTTTTCCTGTTTGTCCTGTTTGGCTGCTGCTCAAGTGGTTGCAGCCGTAATTCTTTGCAGAGGACTTGGAGTTTCCTCTCAGTCTTTCGCGTACAACCAATGGATGAATTGAAAATGCTTATTGATATATGTTAAACCTTTGACAAATCCCTGCAATAGATGATGTCACCTCACCTGCTCTAGCATCTCTTTGATATCATCGCTCGGTAACTGAAAAAAAAAAGGAAAATGGCTGACGGTTGTAAATTTATTGTACATTTACCTATGACGTCTACACCACAGACTTACAGAAGACACCACTACATGTGATTCATCACCACTAACGAAAATTATTACACGACTCGGGCAGTCAGAGGGCCAATAACTAAAATCAACCAATCAAAATGCTCTATTGCCGGTCCAATATTCTCTAAGTATTGGACCGGGCACTGTCCCGAATGATACCGCACTTGTGTCCCTTTGAACTTCAGTCGTATAATAAATCTCTTATTAACCAAGCTTGCTCGGGACCGTACTGGAAGAATATCGGCCCTCGGTCTTTTTTGTACGGACCTCGCTGCGCTCGGTCCGTACTGTCAAGACCTCGGGCCGATATTCTCCCAGTACGGCCCTCGCGCTTGGTTAATAAGATATATTTAATGTGTACATATTAGTTGAGTTAGAAGACGGAATAGGC